TGAAGCTAAGCTGAAGCTAAGCTAAGCTGTGTGAACCCAGGGGGCGCGACTGGGGGAACCGCGGGGCGGGGGCTGGGGGAACCGCCCGGGGCGCTTTACACTGCCCGGCCCCTTTAAGCTAAGAGAGTAAGAACCCTCTAGGCAGAGCCTAGGTAGGGAAAAACTGCACGCGCGCACTCGTTGATACAAAACCATTAGCTTTCGAAAATCTCTCGCCCCCCCCCCCCCAAAAAAAAAAAAAAAAAAACGAAGTGTTCGCGCGCGCGTCGTCGCGCGCATGCCGAATTCCTTCCAAAACCTTCGGATCCGTGGGGGTATCAAATCGAGTGCCCAAGCAGCATATCAAACGCACAGGGCTTTGCAACACGGTTTTCAAACAAAAAAACATGTACTCGCGCTCTAGCGAATTCGCAAGAAAACCATCGGGTTTTTGTTTGAATTATTTTCAGAACGTGTTACCAACAGGCTTCGCGCGCGCGCGTCGAAATCGTTCGAGCGCCCTTTGCGCGTGCCGTCGCGAGAATGCTTTTTCTCGAATAACGGGGCGAAGTTCACGCGCGCTCGTCGTCGCGCGCGCGTGCCAAAATTTTTGAACAACCTTAGGGGTCGTAGCGGTATCACAACCGAGTGTCCAAACACACGCGTAAAAACATACACACACAAGGTTCCTCAGTATCAGTTGTCAAAAAAGAGTGCGCGCTCGCGCTCTCTTGCGAATTCTTCAGAAAACCATAAGCTTCTCAGCATTTTCATTGAATTTTCCCAAACGGACCGCGCCCTTGCGCGCGGGGTGGGAGGCGCGATCCGTGTCAAATAATGCCATGCGGCCCAGTTTCGCGCGTCGGCCGGCGCGTATGTCGAACTCTTTCCAAAGCCTTCATCATGGACGCGAGGACGCTGTCATCGTCGCCGGCGTGATCAGCATCGGCGCCCGCGCTGGCCGCGCCGTCGTCGTTTTCAACATCGTCACCAGCATCGCTGCTATCATCATCGTGTTTACCATTGTCGACGTTGCTATGATACCGCGCCCGGTCAAATCGCCGATTTGCATTGAAGTGCCCGCTGGGAGGTGCCCAGCGGTCAGCGCCACCGCGGCCGCGTCGGTGGCGCCAAACTAGCTGGCCGCTGCGCGCGCGTGCTTGGGTTGACGCGGCCGCACAGATGGACCAGCCAACGCCAAGCATTCATCGCAATCGCCACCGCATGTGTTTTGCACGCCGAGTTGCGGCGGGTGGGTGGGATGATTGCGCGAGCAGTGGAGTTGACAATTCATCACGAACGAAAATTTAGTGCACCACGTAGATTGCACCACATATGTTTCCGTTCTTAAGGAATGTGGGTCCCCCCTCCTCCCGGAATTATTGGTGCACCCTGGGATAATACGACTTACATGTGTATGTTCCCCATCGTCCATCTTAAATATGAATTCGCACCATCCGACGGGGACCCGTTCTTGCTATGAAAATTGGTTCCCCAAAGTGTTCGTCAATTGCGGTCAAGCTAGCCTCTGGCGCACGCATGTCGAAATCATTCGGCCGCCATTGCGCGCTTGCTGGGAGGGCACGTTCCCTGTCAAATGACACCATGCGGGCCATTCGCACCCGTCGGCCGCGCGCGCATGTTGAAACCTGTCCGGAACCCTCATCACCGACACGTGGACACCATCATAGCCACCGGCGCGATCAGCATCGGCGCCGTCAGTGGCCTTGCCGTCGTCATCGGCACCATCATCACCAGCATCGTCGGTGCAGCATCTGTGGTGCAATGCATGTCGAGATAGGTCTGTTGGGCTATCTATGGGGCACCATCGGTGTGGAGCTATCCATGTGGCGCACGGGCCGTTTCCAATCGACTGCAATCGATTGGGTCGCAATCGACTCAACCTGGCATCGCTCGGACGTGTGCATCTTTTACTCGGCGAGGACCATCGAGGAGCATCCTTGACCTCTTGGCGAAAAAACCATGCACGAAACCGAAAAAAACACAGGGAATGGACGTCCGAGCGATGGCGAGTTCAATGGCGACAAGTGGGTTCCAGCGGTGGGGAAGGGGGGGGGGAAGGCAACGGGGCGGCGGCCACGATGCTGCGACGGGGCGGCGGCGGCGGCCACGGGGCGGCGGACCCGGCCGCGGAGCCTCGACGTCGGGCGGCGCCGAGGCGGCGACGGGGCAGCGGCGGCGACAAACGAGGCGGCGGACCCGCCCGCGGAGCCTCGACGAGAGGAGGAGGAGGAGGAGGAGGAGGAGGAGGAGGAGGAGGAGGAGGAGGAGGCGGGTGGCGACGAGGCGGCGACGGGGCGGCGGCGGCGACCTCAAGGCGCTGGACCCGGCCGCGGAGCTCGGCTCCTCAGAGAAAGGGTAACAAAACATCCAAAACACCCTCACTTTCAGTCCTCGTTCTTCCTGCGCCTCCCCTCCCTGGCCGCGGAGCCGTCTGGGCCTCGTGAGTCTAGACGTCCGTCAGCTGGAGCCCGCCTCTATGCTATGCAAAGGAATGCCAAGTAATACCAAGCAGTGTCGAGCACTGCCAAACAATGCAACGCACAGCAATGCAAAGCCGATGGAAGCAATGCAAAGCAGTGCGAGTCAGTAAAATGCAGTGCGAAGCAATGCAAATAAAGCGATGCAACTGAATGTAGTGCAACGCAGGGTAACACAAAGCGATGCAAAGCAACGCAAAGCACTGCAAAACAAAACATAGCAATGCAAAGCAATGCAATGCCATGCCATGCAATGCGATTGCAACGAATGCAACGCAATGATACTGCATTACAAAACGACGCGAGTCACTCCGACGCAATGCGAAGCAGCGCAAAGCGATGCAAAGCAGTGCGAATCATTGCAAAGCAATGCACAGCGAAGCAATGCAAAAAGTAGTGCAAAGCAATGCAATGCAATGCGATGCGATTGCAGTGCATAACAATGCAAGGCAACGCAAAGCGATCCAAAACATTGCAATGTGATGTAATGCGATTGCAAAGCAAAACAATTCGATGGAATGCGATTGCAATGCAAACCAGCGCAAATCATTGCAACGCACTGCGAAGCAATGCAAAGCAACGCACAACAGCTCAAAGCAATGCGATTGCAATGCAAAGCAATGCAGAACTCTGCGAAGCACGGCGTAGCAGTGCCAAGCAATGCAAAGCAATGCAATGCAGCGCAATGAATTTGCAAGGCAGTGCGATCGCAATGCAGGCCCAGGCGACGGGTGGCGACGAGGCGGCGACGGGGCGGCGACGGCGGCGACATAGCCGCCAGACCGGCGGTCAGGCCAAGGCGACGAGGCGGCGGAGGGGCGGCGACGGCGAGGGCATAGCCGCCAGACCGACGGTCAGGCCCAGTGCCTTGGAGGAGAAGGAATAACCCCTGAGTCCAAGCACTGCTTGGAACTTACTAGAAGGTCATGGCCAGAAGCGCACGCTTTTGCAAAGGTCACACGGATGGGGGCAAGCCTCTTTCATGATTGGGACCTTTTTTGGGGAAGTTCGTCGATTTGTAAATGAGCATATTGTTTCGGAGTCTTGACTACGCATGGGAAGGGGTGCAAGGCGTTTCTTTTTCAACACGTGTCTCTCCCATGAATGGTAGTACCCATAGGGTGCTGGGCTTTCCGAGGGACGCTTCTTGCAGTGAAAACTAAGGCTCGGAAGGTGTAGTGACTTATTGGGGCGGGGACTTAGGGGACGGGGAGGTGGATTGCAGCATCGCTGATGCATCTTGAATTTACTCTGGTCCTCCTCCTGGCCCTCCTCTTGCTGATGTTGTTCTTTGGATCCTCCGCCGACGCATCCCCTTTCGTACTCCTCTTTGTCTTCCTTGTTTCTCTGATCTGTGTCCCGATCCTACGGTGATGGCTGCCCAGAGTTTCCACCGCGCCCGGCGTGAGACATCGCCCCGCCAACTCCCTTCACCGCAGAAGCATCAGCAGAAGCACCTTCCTCCCCCTTCCCCTCCCTCCTCCTCCTCCTCCTGCTCCTCCTTCTCCTGCTCCTCGTCCTCCATTCCTTCGTCTTATGAATAACTCCTCCCTGTCGCGCCCCGAGGCCGGCCGAAAGGGTGGGCCGGGCGTTTCGCTTGAGACTCCTTCACCACACATGATCCTTAAGCTGCACCTTGCAACAGCTTCACGGATGGAGGGCGGGTCGTTTTCAGAATGCGGTTCTCGCCGCGCACATCCGTCCTAACAAGTTGTAAGAGCTTCATGGATGGAGGGTGGGTTGTTTCCAACATGTGGTTCTCGCTCCAGCGCCGCGCAAATCCGTTTGAAAAAGTTCGCGAAGACCTTCGCGGATGGAGGGCGGGCCGTTTTCAACCTGTGGGGCTCTAGCCTCGGCGCCGCGCACACTCGTATTGAAGTTGTAAGAGCTTCGTGTATGGAGGGCGGTTCCTCTTCGAAGCCACGCGTTCGTCTCAAGAGTTTCCAGCCGTTTCAAGGGTTTTCATGGTTGGCGCCCTAGAGGTGGTTCGCAACAGTTACGTTGCTTCGCGGTGCTGAAATCCCAGGAGCGGCGTTCTGGTACGATTCAGGGTTTTCAAGACGCGACAGTAACGGTGATTCGCGGCGCTGCTATCCCAGCAATTCTGTTCTGCCACAGGTGCGTATTTTCAAACGTTTGTCTTCCAACGGGGCACTTCCTTCAGTGAAAATCAGTATGTGCAGGGGCCTATGAAGAGGGAGCTTGGACGGAGGATTGATTGCAATCTCGTTAATGAGTCTTGAGTTTACACTGGTCTGCCTCATCAACATCATCCTCATCATCATCATCATCATCATCATCATCATCATCATCAGCATCAGCATCTGCATCTGCATATGCATCAGCATCAGCATCATCATCAGCATCAGCATCAGCATCAGCATCATTATCATCATCATCATCATCATCATCATCATCATCATCATCATCATCACCATCCTCATCCTCATCCTCATCCTCATCCTCATCCTCATCCTCATCCTCCTCATCCTCATCCTCATCCTCATCCTCATCCTCCTCAGCCGCCTCGAGCGGGCGCCCTCCACAAGCAGGGCGTGCCTGCCCTCCGCCGCCGCGCCGCCCCGCCGCAGCCGCCAGCGGAGCACGGGGGAGACGCGCCCGCCCGCGAGTGCGGCCGCCAGCCGGCTTTTTGGCGCGCCCGTCCGCGCGCGATGGCCTCGGGTGCGCAGGAGCCGGCTCCCTCCTCCCTCCTCCTCCTCCTCCTCCTCCTCCTCCTCCTCCTCCTCCTCCTCCTCTTCCTCCTTCTCCTCCTCCTCCTACCTCCTCCTCCTCCTACCTCCTCCTCCTCCTCCTCCTCGTTCTCCTCGTTCTCCTCCTCCTCCTCCTCCTCCTCCTCCTCCTCCTCCTCCTCCTCCTCCTCCTCCCCCTCCTCCTCCTCTCCTCTCCCTCCTCCTCCTCCTCCTCCTCCTCCTCCGCCTCCTCCTACCTCCGCCTTCTACCTCCTCCTCCTACCTCCGCCTTCTGCCTCCTCCCGCCTTCTCCTGCCTGCCCCTCCTCCTGACACTACTTCCTGCTCCTCCCACATCCTCCCTCCTCTCTCCTCCTCTCCTCCTCCTCCTCCTCCTCCTCCTCCTCCTCCTCCTCCTCCTCCGTCTTCCCCTCCGTCTTCTCCTCCTCCTTCTTCTCCTCTCCTCCTCCTCCTCCTCCTCCTCCTCTTCCTCCTCCTCCTCCTCCTCGTTCTCCTCCTCCACCTCCTCCTCCTCCTTCTCCTTTTGCGTTGAGCAAGCCTTAGGTAGTATCTGTGGCGGTCTCCTCCTCCTCCTCCTCCGCCTCCTCCTCCTGCCTCTTCCCCCTCCTCCCTCTTCCCCCTCCCTCTTCCTCTGCTCGCGACCCGTGTCTCCCCCTCCCCCTCCTCCTCTCCCCCCTCCCTCCTCTCTCGGCCCCCCCCCTCGCGCCGCGGGGCCGGCACGCCGGGCGGAGCCGCCGAGTGGCTCTTCCGTGCTCCTTCCTCGGAGGGCCCTCCGCTCCCCGACGCTGTGTGCACTGGTCGGGGCAGCTCCTTCCCTAGGAACGGGAGGGGAGGGGAGGAACGGGAGGGGAGGGGAGGGGAGGAACGGGAGGGGAGGGGAGGGGAAGAGGGAGGAACGGGAGGGGAGGGGAGGGAGGGCCAGAGGAGATCAGGGGAACAAGAAGTGGCATAAACATAAAAATTCGGAGGTTCCAAGAAATCCGCGCGGACCACTGAGTTTTTACGTTTATGCCATTTTTCGGTTCCCTATTCTCTGAGATCCGACGCTCCAGGCGCCGGCACGCAGGGTGGAGCCGCCGAGTGGTCTCGGTGCTTTCCTCGGAGGGCCCTCCACTCCTCGACGATGTGTGCATGGGTCCGGGCAGTTCCTTCCCTAAGATCCGACGCTCCAGAGCAATCTACACCGGCGGTTTCTGGCTGCTTCCAGCCCCCGGGGGCCCTCGCCGGGCCTCGGGAGCGTCAGGAAACGACCCGGGACGAAGGACCAGTCGTGGGGAAGTGGTCGGGACCTCCGGGGCCCACGCATCGAACGAAATTGGAGCAGCCGGATGTCAGGGTAGTTTCTTTTAGAACGGCGGTGCCTGGCATTCGTCAGGGTTCGTTTCGATTTCTCCGATTCGATTCGATTCGATTCCGATGGCTTCCGACTCCGATTCGATTCGATTTCGGATTCCGATTTAGGCTCCGATTCCTTACAGGAGGCATACTCGCCTGCCGATATCCGCAGATTCGACTTTTCCTGACTCGGCTGCCGATTTCCGCCGATCCGACTCATTTCGATCGCCGATCCGCCTTATCGATTCGGTTCTGGGCTCTCTTGGTCTGTTCCGTTTCCGATTCCTAATTCCTTCCCTCTTTTTCATCTTTCATCTCCTATCTCTGCAGATGGCTCCTCCTCGTCTGACCACCAGTGTCGGCAGGGCGGGCTGGGCGTTTAGCCTGGGACTCCTTTCCCGTTTACGACCCCGAACTTGAAATTAGCAACAGTTTAACGTATGGAGGGATGTGGTCTCGCCTCAGTGCGGCGCACATTCGTCTCAAAAGATTTTAGCAGTTGCAGGGATCGAGCACGGCTCCTTTTCAACATGTAACTCTAGAGATCTCCTCAAATCCAATGTCCAGAAATGCTGTGAATGATAAGTATGCCTCGGGGTCGTAATGGTGGGGACGTCCCAGACGAAACGACCGGACCGCCGCTAAGACACGTCTGATTGTGGCCAGGGGTCACTGAACGTAGAAGGAGGAGGGAAGAGGGAGAGGATGAGGCTTAAGAGGTGGGAGTTTGCCATGTTGCCCAAGTTGTTTGGTTTCTGGCGGGAGCCAGGGGAACGGCATGCGTAATACATGATGTGCACCGCCAGCATCATCGAGTTCCAGTGTCGAGCAGACCAACATCGTATCACTGCATTGGCGGGTGCTCTGGGAAGTCTTCGAAAACACATGGCGCGAGAAAGATATGCGGCTACGCGGAGGGAGGACTTGCTTACACTTGGCGCGACAATATCGTATTCGTGAGTGGCCGGAGACTGGAGGATGAAGGGCAGCGAGAGGAAAACATTGAAGGAAGGCATACTTGATGTTGGGATGGGGTACGGGATAGAATGGGAGGATATTTTCGTGAGCGTGTTCGGCATTGCTTGGCTCGCCGAGACCAGTGCTCGCGTGAAGCTGAGTGGACGTCTCTCCATCCAGCTTCCAGGACGCATTCATCCATCATCTGTGGATTGTTCTGCAATGCATTCGACAGCTGCGCAAGTCCACTGGGCGGTGTCCAAGCCGCACCAGACAGGAGGAGGACGAGGGCAGACGCGGCCGCCCTCACACGGAAGCACGGGAGGCATCCTCCTCTTCCTCCCCCTCCTCTTCCTCCTCCTCCTCCTCCCTCTCCCCCTTCTCCTCCTCCTCCTCCTCCTCCTCCTCCTCCTCCTCCTCCTCCTCCTCCTCCTACAGCCACACGTCCTCTGGACGAGCTTCCTGCTGGGCACGGCGGCAGCGCACCCGACGCGCACCGGGGCGGCGTGGCCGGGCGCCTCGTCTTCACCGACCGCGAGCCTCTCGCTGGCGTGGTCACTGGAGCCACCGCGCTGGCTGACGGGCCTGCTTTCCACCACCACCGCCATGAATTGGAGGAGGGAAGGAGGAGGAGGAGGAGGACGAGGAGGAGGAGGAGGAGGAGGAGGAGGAGGACTCCCTCCCCCTCCAGGCGGAGGAGGAGGAGGAGGATGAGGAGGAGGAGGACTCCCTCCCCCTCCAGCTCATGGTGGTGGTGGTGGTGGTGGGGAACAGGCCCATCACTGGCAGCAACTTCCTCTCGGGCCAGTTTGTGATCGCACCGCCCCGAGCACGTTCGACGTGATGGGCCACGGACGGGGGCCCGCGCAGGGCGCGGACGATCTGGCCGTGTGGCGCCAGCGTGGCTGGAATACCGAAGCGGGTTCTCCTCCTCCCCCTCCTCCTCCTCCTCCTCCTCCTCCTCCTCCTCCTCCTCCTCTTCCCACAGCAGTGCTTGCACCTGGGGGTTCTTACTTCTTTTCTCAGAGGAACTGGGCCTGTCCTGCGGTCCAGCGGCCATGTTGCCGGCGTCGCCGCCCCCTCGCCGCTTCGTCGCCGCCCGTCGTCCGGGCATGCCCGGCGGTCTGGCGGCTATGTTGCCGCCGTCGTGAATTGCAAGGAGCACGATGCTACGGGTCCACGCTGGCTCACACTTCTTGGTATGCTGTACACTGTATGCAAAGAAGTCGTAGTATAAATAGGTACCCGATAGCTACTCGATCTAAGCGGGGCCAGCTTCCCGATCCACAGCGGTGGTGTGGCACTAGAGCGGCATCGTGTGGTTCTGCATCCGCCTGGTGCGTGGAGGCTGTCACGCGCCGTTGTTTCTCCTGTTTTTTTTTCTTCTTCTTCTCATTATTATTATTATTATGTTTCTTCCTCCTCCTCCTCCCTCTCCTCCTCCTTCTCCTCCTCCTCCTCCTCTCCTCCTCATCCCCCTCCTCCTCCTCCTCCGATCTCACAATCGATCTCAATCGATCGATCTCACAATCGATCTGACTATCGATCTCACAATCGATCTCACAATCGATCTCACATTCGGTCTCGCTATTGATCTCACAACAGATCTCACAATCGATCTCACAATCGATCTCACATTCGATCTGACTATCGATCTAACTATCGAACTCACTTTGGATCTCATTATCGATCGTACATTCGGTCTCACTACCGATCTCACTATCGATATCACAACCGATATCACAATCGATCTCACATTCGGTCTCACCATCGATCTCACTATCGAACTCACTATCGATCTCATTATCAATCTCAATCGATCTGACGATCGATCTCACAATCGATCTCACAATAGATCCCACTATCGATCTCACATTCGGTCTCACTGTCGATCTAACTATCGATATCACAATCGATCTCACAATCGATCTCCCATTCGGTCTCACAATCGATCTCACTACCAATACCACTATCGATCTCACAATCGATCTCACAATCGATCTGACATTCGGTCTCACGCTCGATCTCATTATCCCAGTGCGACCCTACCTAGGAGTTGGAACCCCTAGGAAAGCAGCATTAGTAGTAACAGTAACGCTAAGCTAAAGCTAAGCTAAAGCTAAGCTAAAGCTAAGCTAAAGATAAGCTAAAGCTAAGCCACAGCTAAGCTAAAGTTAAGCTAAAGCTAAGCTAAAGCTAAGCTAAAGCTAAGCTAAAGCTAAGCTAAAGCTAAGCTACAGCTGAGCAACAGCTGAGCAACAGCTAAGCTAAAGCTAAGCTAAAGCTAAGCTACAGCTAAGCTAAAGCTAAGCTAAAGCTAAGCTACAGCTAAGCTCAAGCTAAGCTAAAGCTAAGCTAAACGCTAAGCGAAAAGCTAAGCGAAACGCTAAGCTAAAGCTAAGCTACAGCTAAGCTAAAGCTAAGCTAAAGCTAAGCTAAAGCTAAAGCTGAAGCTAAAGCTAAAGCTCCCAGGGGACTGGGGGGAACCGCGGGGCGGGGACTGGGGGAACCGCCCGGGGCGATTTCCATTGCCCGGCCCCTTTAAGCTAAGAGAGTAAGAACTCTTCTAGGCAGAGCCTAGGTAGGGAACAATCGATATCACTATCGATCTCAGTATCGGTCTCTCATTCGACCTCACTATCGATCTCACTATCGATCATCAAAATAAAACACCAACATCATCACCAT